TACCTGAAATCTGGATACATACCTTATCTTGGGATCGGCGATCGGCGACCGCGATCAGGCCTCGAGCCTCGATCAACGATCACGAACGGACCCCGATCGAAGATCACGATCGGGCCTCGATCGGCCATCACGATCTCGCCCCGATCGACCTCGATCTGTGACGACGACCCACGTTCGCAATCAGGAACGTCGACCTGGACCTATGAACCATCGCCCGCGGCCGTCGTTCCGGTGATCTTCATCCCTGCCGCTCGCCTTGGAGCGCCCGCCGTACGCCCCCGGCGATTATATCCCGCCTCCTTCTCCGGGCTCCGGATCGCCATCTTGTCTTGATCTGGGGTTACGCATCCCTCGCATGTCTTGATCGGTGATTGACAGGGATCCGAATGTAGCCGTCCTCCTTCGATCTTGGTCCGTCGGTCCGCTATCGTTCAGGATCGTCGATCGTTAGGGACCTCGCCCCATGAACTCCCTTGATCCGGCCTTCCCCCGATATGATATGGGTGGGTCGCCATCCATCATTCCGTCGGGTTGATCTTGGGTCATCCGTAGTCCCCATCACTCGCCGATGTTGTCGCACGTCAGATCTTGGGGAATCGGCTTGATGTCTTGGCCTCGAGTAGGATTTCTGTCACCTGGTCCGTCTCTTTCTCGCGATCTGGCAGCCGAGGTTCCTCTTCTCGTGAGATTTCAATCGCACTTTACCACATCCACCCTCAGCCTGAAAGTTGGACTGTCCGAATTCACTTCAGGTCTCATTCCACAATCTTCCGACTTGGACATACTCCTCTTCACTCCCCGACCCACGATCACCATGAGCCAGACCGGCAGCGACCCCGGGAGTCCCCCTGTTCGGACCCCGCCTGACTCGCCGCCGTCCACCGCGAGCCAGCAGTCGCGGCACTCCACTATCTCGCGCCGCTCGCACTCCCACACCTCCGATCGGGATCGTCGGTTGGCCACGTTGGAGAGTGAACTTCGCCAGAGCAACCTCACGCGAGATCGCCTCGTCCGAGACCGTGATCACCTCGATCTGCAAGTCCACCAGCTGCTATCCAACATCCGGGACATGGAAGCGTTCCAGCACTGTCAGTGAGACGATATCACTCGACTCGAGACCGAGATCTCGTCTCTCACTCATGCCATTGGTGACGATCCAGAGAATCTTCACACCCAAGTCCTCCAACTGCGCACCGAACGAAACGACTTCGAGCGTCAAACCATTTCCGCCCGTGAAGATCTTCACAACACCGAGACTGGTCGTGATCGTCTGCGCCTGGAGGCTATTCAAGCCGGGGACGAGATCGGGGACTTGCAGGCGCAGATCCGCGGTCTGGAACGTGAGACTGACGATGCGAAGTCTGAATCCGCCACCGCCCTCGCCAGCTATAACCGAATCTCCTCTAGCCTCACCCGCACGCAGCCGGATCGCGGAAAAGATCCGTCCCCCGGCAGCGCCACTCGTCTAGCCCAGGCGCACCGTGATCGCGCGTTAGCAGATCTTGCACTCGCCCAGGCAACCCTGACGCAGGTCACCTCCGATCGCGATCGAGCCTTTAAACAACTTGCCCAGACCACCGAAGATCGGGATCGGGCACTTGTCGATCGTGATTCGGCCCTCCGCCTCCGCGATCAGGCGGTCACCGAACGTGATCAGGTTCGCTTGGACCTTTTCACTGAGACGGCTCGCACGGACCAGCTAGACGACGACCTCGAGGTGGTTCGCCAGGAACTTAGGGAGCGGGAGGGCCAGATGACGGATCTCCAGATCGCTCACGACCAACTCGCCGAGTTGCGCGATCTGGCTGAGAGCGACCTGAATGAGGCCGATATACTACTCACCCACCGAGCCAGCCGGATCCGGGAGAGTCAGGCGACGCGGATGCCGAAACGTGAGCGAAGTCCACCCAGTTCTCCGCCTCAATTACCGCCTCTCAAGACGCCTCGCAGTGATCGTCCAGTTTCCCCGCCACCTAACCAAGATCGGCCCGAGATCGAGGGTCTGGAAGGCCAGGAGCACCAAGATCAGCCTTAGATCGAGTGTCCGGACGACCAGGAGCATAAAGTTCAGCCCGAGTTCGAGGGTCCGGATGACCAGGAGCCCCAAGATCAACCCGAGTTCGAGGGTCCGGATGACCAGGAGCTCGAAGATAAATGTGAGATCCCGAGCGGGGGAGGAGGCAGTCCTGGTGATCACGACTCCCCTCCTCCGGACCGCAGTCCCGCGACACCTCCACCCTCGCCTTCTCCGGGTCACAGTCCCGCGACTCCTCCTCCCTCACCTCCCAGGTCTCCTGGCGGAAGCCCGGGTGGTGGTTCTCCGGGAGGTGGCTCCCCAATCCAGCTACATCCACCGTTATTTCCCGCTGAGGCTAGTGTTCCTCATTACTCTGCACTCAAGCTCTTCACGGCGACCGAGATCTACCCGTGGGACCCGACTATCGTGGGAACAGTGCCGATCATAGCCATGATCCAGGCCACTTTGACGAAACGGATGCCGATCCCGGCCAATTTCCTGTTTCCCTACCGAGTCCCTCCGGTTCGGGCTCCCATGCCCGTGGTTGGTTACCGCTCGGAGTTGATCACCGGTGCCAACGTTTTAGCTCCTATGGCCACAGAGCCGTGGCGCATACTTGGCCGGCGTCGCCCCACTCCCTTGACTTTCGATCACAACCTTCATCGGCGAGCGGAGACCCCTCTATGGCGGATCGCTGTGGCGTATGCGGCCTGGAAGAAGATCACATGATTGCGTATTGAGAATCGACCCATTATCTCGAGATCACGTCGGTGATGACTGACGCGGGCTCGGATCTCTTCACCTACCACCAAGATCGACGTCAGCGACGGATCCAGGCTGGAGAGAGTTGGAGGAAGCTGTTGGGGGAAGTTGTGCTAATGATGAGGGCTAAGTGGGTCGACATCGACATCCCGCTGGACCCCTATATCCTCCACCTGCCGACGAAACAGGATCGGATGCGTTGGTAGTCCGGATCGGTCTCCTGGGCGGCCAATCTTACACAACCGACAGCGAATCTCCCCGAGCCGACTGACTTGATCACGGCCCTGTTGGAGTGCGATCAGGCGGATCCCTGGAGGAATCACTTCCGCGATCCCGGTTCCGCTCATCCGTCCCTGAGCATACCTCGCCTCGTGAACAAGTTCAATCCTCCAGCGGCCCCTTGATCGCCGATCTAGCTTCCACTCTTCACCCACATCCGAGATCTCCGATTTCCTCCGCATCGATCGCATTTCTTCCTTGTTGATCTCGTAGGACCGAGTTTCTTCCTTGTCGCCCTCGTAATTTCCTAATTCAGCCACATCTTTTGCTCGTTTGTTCTTTTCGTCGCCGTTCACAAGTGATCTCTCTTCCAACTCCCCATATCTTCTGTGATCCCTTACGACGGCTCCTATATGCATATACACAACATGAATTCCCGATCTCAGTCCCTCTGACCAATATTCCCACGGGATCGAGGCGATCGGGTAACCTCACCCCGTCCTCCTTACATCTCTTCATGTGATTGCATCACATTGAAGCGATTCCGATTGGCCCGTTCTCGCAGGAAGGCGTTCAATATTGCCTCGCAGTTGAGATCAGCTTCGTCGACCCAGGTTGGTTCATCATATCCTGCCCAATGAACCAGGAACTCCCGATAGATCCGACCAAATCGTGTCTTCTTCCCACTCCGAACATCAGAAATCCGCTCGACTTCATACTCATCGGCCCCTACATCCGGTACCCAACTGTCCTCCGGGAGCAGGATCTCGTCGAAATCGAGACGATCCACCTTATCTAAAGTAAGTTCCACTCGCGGTCGATCCGAAAAATCCTTTACCAATTTCAACTTCGACACGTGCACTACTGGGAAGATCTGGTACCCGGTCCCTGTGATCTCGAGCTTGACGCTGAATTCGTTGATCTTCTCAGCGACTCGGAACGGCCCGTGCCAAAGGTGAGCCAATTTCCGCGCGTATCCTTCCTTCACCCGAACGAAATATAACCAGACACGGGACCCGCCCTCGATCTGGTGTGATCCGACGTCCTCGTTGTGTCGGTCGGCTCAATCTGCGATGGCCTCCTTCAATCTGGCATTGACTTGTTCCTGGGATCGTTGATAGTATCGCTGGACTCGATATCGCCATCGCCGTGCGTCTCGATCATGCCGTCACGTACATCCGACCGGAAGTGTAGCCTCCAATGTCGATCTCGGATCCCATCCATGTACCAAGAATAGTGGGGGTATCTCCCCGGATCCGATCGTGAGCCGTGTTGATCGCGAAGGTGAGGCGCTCAGCATACTCGTCCCAATCCTTCTGATCAAGATCGCCAGATCGCGAACATACATCTTGAGCGCTCTGGTCGCGGTCTGCACCATTCTCTCAGCAGTTCCGTTGGCCTGTGGCCGATATGCCATCGTCGCCCGCTGCCGTTGCCCCAAGATCTTGTTAAACGCCCGGAAGAAATCGGACATGAAGCCGGGTTCTCGATCATGCCGAATCATCTCACTGGCCCCAAATCGTCGAAATACACACTCTTCGTACGATTACGCAACCGTCTGGGACGATCGGGACGAGCTGGCTTTCGCGATCACATATCCAGTGAACAGATCGACCCAGATCAATAACTTAGTGTTTCCCTTGTGTGATCTGGGTAGCGACGGTATGTGATCCATCGCAATAATCTGAAACGGGTACGTCGCCTGCAAGTTTCCCGGCGATTTACCCCGAATCACCGGTTTTCCTTTTCCTGTTTCGCAATCCACACACTCCCCCACATATCGCTGAACACTTCGGTATAATCCCCTCCAATGGAAGTGATCTCTGATCCGCTGGTAGGTTCGCCCCACTCCCTGATGTCCTCCTTCCAACGTGGTGTGATAATGATGTAAGACGTCCGATTACAACATTTCGGGGAATACCAATCTCATCAATCGGTCGCGATCGCCTCACGATCTCGGCGCGAGGGGGGAAGTAAAAGAGTAGATCCTGCTCGTCTATCTCGTAGTCGGCCGCGATCTTGCCATACGATCTTGCATCCGCTTGTGTGAGATCTGCGATCGAGCCACTCAGGTACTTCTTCATGCCGACGACCCAGAATACTTCCTCCTGGGCCTGCTTAATCCGATCGACCCGGATCTCCCGGATCAGATTCTCTTGCATGACACCCGCCGGTGATCTTGCTCGACCAGCTCGAGTGGTCTCCGCGGCAACTCGTACCACTGGGTTCTCGGTCTTAGGGATCAAGATTTCGTCTAACCGGTTTAGGGTAACCAGATCCTGGTACCCGGGCACCTCCTGGACCTCGATCCCCCTTGTCGTTGCAAAGCGGCGCTTGCTAGACTGTCGGCACTTCCGTTCCAGTCCCTCTTGACGTACACCAACTCATGATCACTCCATTTCCTCAGCCGATCGAGGGCTTCTGCTTCAATAGCGTCAGTTCGGGTGCTTTGCAGTCGATCTCACCCCGTACTTGTCGGATCACTAGGTTGGAATCCCCGCAGACCACCAGACATCTGCGATCTAAGCTCTCTAGCATGTCGGGCCCCAGGATCAGGCCGTTATATTCAGCTTCGTTCACGGTGAGGCTTTCGAGATAGCCGGATCTGGCCTTGACCACCTCCCATCCGGGCAGACTCCACACGATCGCGCTGAACGCGCCCCCGCCACGCTTAACTCGAGCGGATCCGTCAAAGCTAATCACCCATAGTTCCTCGTCTCGATCTATGGTGGGTATCGGCGCTTGAATCCGGTGTTTAAGTTCTTTCCGAGGAGCGATTTCGGTCAGAGCGTCGTCGATCTTCGCCCTCGGCGTGATTCTGGCAGCGATCGCCCCCAGTATCTCATCCTCACCCTTTGTGCACTTCGTGATCTCGAGTGTCCATGAGACCAGGAGGGCAGACCATTGTCCCATGCGACCCTGTAATCCCGTTGACTTGAACAGCCAGGCCAACGTAGAATGCCTCGTCAGGACCCGGATCTCGCGTCCTACTAGCAAATTGTAATAGAGATCCAAGATCCT